CGTGACTAGGAGCTAAAGGTTCCCTATTCTGTACCTACTTAACGTTATTGCTATGATAAATCAGGACTCCAACTCTTTTTCCTAGTACTTATGGGGCGAAGCAGGAGGTTATCGTAACTTGTGTAGGACAAACTAGTATAAATATCTTAAACAGGATAGCCATTATTAATATCTTAATGAGTCTAGTTGCCAACTTCTAGGTGCGAATGCATTTAGTAGCTTTAGTGTGCCGATTGTTTTCTTCCACACCATCATATCTTTTACGGGAGTGATAAGACTGAGTTATTGATTTGTGTGTAAGATAGGTACATTTATGATATTTCAATTTTTATGGAAACAGTTCGCTTGCTTTCATATTCATGTGACTTAATCATTCTTTTTCGATGCATCTGAAGAATTGACATAAATCGTGCCTTCTGCTGAGTAGATTCGGTACTGTAAACACACTAAAATTAGGCTCCTGAATTCGCTATTTATTTTGGAACATTTTTTCGGATAATCGTTAAGCTTATTTGCATTCAAGCCACTATTCCATTTTCTTTAGAAATTCATATTTTTTATCTCCCTAACTTGTTAGCGGTTTAACCAATTTATTGAATTGTTTTCAAATACTTACAATAGACAATATGAGATCTATTTACCCTATTTCACTTAATGTGATGAAGGACTGGTAGTAGAATTTTCCCACAATCATATGAGTAGAGCTGACTTTTCAATTGAATTTCACATGGCTTTGCTTTCCCAAAAGTTGTTCTCATCCAGGGTGGACTGCAGTTTCGACCTCGCATAGGTCTTATCAAAACCCTCAGTGGGAGTCTAACCGTGAGAGTGCAGAATGTGAGCTTGAGACGTTAACCACTCGGCCACATTGCCACGAGTGGCCTTGGTTCAAAGGGCAGATATGAATTTCAAGGAAGGCCGGGCCTTTTGTCATATCACATTCTTTGGTGGGATTGTCGATGAAGAAAACGTATATTTGCTATAACATTCGAATACATTACTTATTTTTCGTATGTAAGTAGAGTTTCGAGATTACCAGTAAATCATTAATGTGAGATGTGTTCACCCTATTTCGAAACTCTACTTACATACGAAAAATAAGTAACGTAGTCGATTGTTATAGCAAATGTGATATGACAAAATTCCTGGCCTTCCTTGAAATTCACATCTGCCCTTTTACCCAAGGGCATTCGGGGCAATGTGGCCGAGTGGTTAACGTCTCAAGCTCACATTCTGCACTCTCACGGTTAGACTCCCGCTGAGGGTGTTGATAAGACCGATGCAAGGTCGAAACTGCAGTCCACCCTGGAGGAGAACAACTTTTGGGAAAGCAAGGCTATGTGAAATTCAATGGAAACGTCGGCTCTACTCATATCATTGTGAGAAAATTCTACTACCACCAATACCCTAAACGACGGAATTAATGGTAGTCTCTAAACTCTACGAAAAATAACAGTAGACAGTCTGACAATTAAGAGATTATTTGAATGCATCAAGTCCGGATTATGTGAGACTCACTGTCAACATTTAATAAAGTCATCGCTGAATCAGAGAGAATATCAGAAAGTCTCTAATAGTGTATTTGCCTTTATGATTCATTTTTATATCACAACACTTCCTTATTTCATTACATTTTTTATACTTATTTCTTAGGAGGCACAAAATGTGGCAGCTAAGTTGAGTTTGCTTTCTGACGGATTGCGTGACTGGCTCTGCCTGGCTGATCAGAGGCTGCGCTCATGTTGCTTACCGCACCAACAAGCTTCATATAATCAGCTGATGCCGTTTCCCGCTGGCGTCAACACTGACATCAGTTTACCTACCTCATACCAAGCAAATGAAAATGCATTTCTCCATTCTGAACACATTATACCTTATATCAGTCAGGGCAAACAGCAAATGGCTTCAGGTGAGATGGGCTCGCCTGATACGAACTGTCTTCATACCTTCCCGAACAAATCAGATCCGCTTCAATTTACTACTCATGCAGGGAATGGAACGCTCGATGGATTACATTATCAACTTTCACCGAAAAGTGAGACTGTAATTGCATCCTTATTTGCAGATCAGCGCACCATGTTGGCACGAGCTTA